ATAGCATTAGTTGTCAGTATCATTACTATATTTCTATCATTATTTTACTCTTACTTTCAAAAACTTGTATTATATATTATATATTTTTTATTTTATAAAAGATTCAAGCGTCATGCATTTTGATCTTGGTACTAGCAGGTCTATAATTAAATGATTTTATTTTATAAATGATAATAATATAATAGCTGCTTCTTTGCTTGACAGAGCACTCTTTCTTGTGACTACTTCTTGTCGTCCTATTGAATCATACAACATGAGAATAAGGTGGGTGAATTATATAAAATGCATGTCGCTACGTTTATGACTTACCTGTCTGGTTTTATCATCAACCATGGCTCATTGTCGTTTTGTAAGTGTATCTAAGAAAGCCTGACTCCTGAAGAAACTGTCAGAAAAGAGAAAAGTCGAGCAATGCTTGGAGCATTGTTCATGAAAATAAAAACGGTAGTGCCCAGACCCAACGTACCATTAACGGAACAACCACAATAAAAACGGAAACGGTGCTACCGTTTAATCGCCGTTCAACGTAAACGGAACGCGAAGTTTTTATTGTCTTCTACAGTATTATTTTCTAACTTAAGAAAGCTTTGTTTTCTGTTTTAGTCGACTCTTGCTTCATCAAAGAGCGTGTCAGACTACTAATAATTGAAAGTACATGTAGCTTTGCCAGAGGTACCAAGTTCTCAAGAGAAAGTCCACAACACAAGGAACTTACTCATGCTACAGCATACCATATTGGTGAAGGTGGTGTACCAATGAGTGCTCTTGAAAACCAGGATTCAAACACATGATCCTCAAACTAAATCTCAACTTTGACTGACCATCAAACAGTACTTCAATAATGAATCAATCCCTTGATTATGTGATGATGTTCGATGTCAAATTCTTTCTGATTTGAAAGAGGTGTTGCACTACTGATTAACTAGTGATCTCTGGACGATCTCTGTTACAGAGCCTTGTATTATTATCACACTTCATTATATCGATTTATCATAGAATCGCAAGTCTGTTTACCTTCAGATTGTAGCACTGTATTTAAGAATAGAAATTTTAGTCTTGCCACGCATAGTGCAACTATTGTGAAAAGTAAACTTTTAATTAGTAAAATTAAAAAAAAACAAGATTAATTAGGATTCCGAAAGACCAACGAAAATATGAAATGAAAATCCTACTCTCGTGATGCAAATTCTACTCTATATTGTACTTTTAATGTTCTCATGTAAAAATTATGAATCACCTTGCAATTTAGAGTAGAATTTGCGTCACAAGAGTAGGATTTTCATTTCGTATTTTTGTTGGTCGTTCGGAATCCTACTCAATCTTGTTTTTTAAATTTTTTTATGTTCTTGTTTGTGTTGATTTTTTAATAATATTTATAGTATGTTTTTTAATTACAATTGTGACACTTGTTGATTTTACACAAACAATAATTTTCTTTATTATTATTATCATTGTTATGACTTTACAGCATTTATGATGAGACAGCAGTCACAGCATTAAATAGATATGCTGAAGAAATATTTACTGTACTGATGACAAGTGAAATTAATACTATAGTCTTGACTTGAATCCTTGCTCAAGAAGCTCCATCTTCCGTAGCTATCTATTCCTGTTCTTCCTGATGTCAAAGTCATTATCATCGCATTATTATAACATTAATTGTTTTTTAAAATAAAATAATTCATTACACATTTGATAAAAGAATAGTATGCAAAATTAATACCTTCTTTTAGCTGGAAACCTCCACTAAGTAATGCAATTGATTCCAAGCAAAGCTAGTCTAGCTAGGTTTAAAAGAAAAGATTGGATTTCCCAGTTCTTAGATCTGAGCATGCGCAACCACGCCCAAATTTTAGAGCACACATGCTTCTATAATTAACAAAATGGTGACTGAAGGTAAGCAGGCCCGATACAGCAGTCATAACGGGCATATGCAGCAGGGGCTGATGGGGGCTTGAGCACCCCCTCATGGCTGGGCTCAGAAAAAAATCACTCCAATCCTGGACTTTTGCATCACTACCAAGCCTCTTAACAAAGCTATCTAGCCCCCTGGTCATTATTTCAGCAGTTTCTAGTGCTTTCAGGAGCAATTAGAAGTTGTCAGAAGTACTAGATGCTTGAAATAATTTTGACCCCACCCGTAATTCACGAAAATAAAAGAAAATGCCGTTTTACCACCGCAAAAAGGGGTGTGGCCAAAATCGCGGCACAAAGCGTGCCCTCAGCACCCCCTTTTTCCATCTCTGGATATGCCATTGCATAACGTCACTTTTTCTTATCTTGGAGAATGATTTTAGGGGACATGGATCTGCTCATAAACTGTTGGAGTAGAGTGGTGTAAGAATTATACTTCTAACACCAGTCAAGATTGAGATACAGCTTGCCAACTGAATTACCAGGACTTTCTTGATGATGATGATGATGAAGATGAAAAATAAAGTGGCTGAACAAAACGGCCAGTTTGCCAATTTTTGGCTTTCCTCTTAGACTAGGTTTAGAGCCATGCTATTGGTACCAATGGAATCCTCTGGTCAGGATGAGGTCCTCTAAGAAGTCTGGTAAGCATAGGAGCTTGTTTTCATTGTATAGCAAGGCTGCAAAAGTTGTGGCAGCCATTTGTTTGGGGGTGAATCCTGCTTAGTAACGCTACTGCGTTACTAATACCATTCATCTATTATAATGGGTGTTATGTAATTTTCTCATTAAATGTTCTTTTGTTATTTATTTTGAGTTTGGCTTGATAAATAGTCTAATCCAGTGCATATTCTCATTGTATTACCCCATAGAACCTTAAGTAATGTTTCTATCTACAATTTTTTTCAGTCAAGATTTGGAGTTTTGGGTTGAACCTTCGTCCATCCCCAGTTGGTAAAACCTTGTCACAGGTGGTTTAGTTACTATAAAGATATAATGCTAAAAGTAGTAACTTTTTGCCAATTCTAGTATTACTTATGTGGAGGAAATTCACAGACGATAAATTTTTTGTAATAGGAGGTTGTATGAAATTGTGATTTATTGAGACAGGAAATAGTAATACTATTGATGAGATGATATGACATAAAATATTGATGATAGACCTTTAATAGCTGTGAAAGTGATGGTGATACAGAGATGACCTTGGTGGTTGTGTTGATTTTACTAAAATATTTATGTCAACATAAATACATTGTAAACGAAATAGTGTTTACGTTATACTTTAATTCTTCTGAAATTTTGCACCTCTAATTTTGACAATTTAAGAATTTTGAATCACTTTTATTTTGAAATTAATTTTGTTTGTTTTGTAAGTCATGATCTAAGTTCTTCTGATTTCACAATTTTCCTCCAACTTCGACACTCGACAGCATTATGGCACATGGACCCAAGCTGGAAGACGCGGGCCAAAGAGTATATCTAACTCACAGTGATGCCGCACTCTGCCTGACAGTTGATTGCCATTAGTAGGCATGGCCTAAGTTCTGTCTAGTTCAAGTTGATAGTAAACAAGATTCACATTGTGAAGATTATTAGTCAAGCAGCAAAGAAGCACTGACTGACTTACAATATCTTGTCCACACGTACACGTGCTTCTTTGTGCCTCCTATTTGGTCATAATTTCTTATTAAAGCCTATTCACTTTCGCCTAACCTCTGGTTATTATGAATTAATACATAAGTACATCACATCTGCATTCTTTACGTATTTGTGGTTTTTGAATTATTTTTGTGTTCCCTGAAGCCATGCAGCTAATAATAGCAGCTGGATTTATTGATTGTTGTTCTATATAGCTATCCAGATGACTGCAGTAGAGATGCCATCAGAGGAATCATTCATTTCTATTTCAACAGGGACTACCCTGCACTGGATTTTGTTCTACAGAAAGCAAAGTCAAATGTTGTATTTGACAGTGGACGAATGACTCTCAGTTAAGTCACAGAAGTTGAGGACAACTACTGTTAGAAAGATGGACTGTTAGAGGAGGAGATGGAAGAGTTTATAATAACTCTGGGTGGTTCTGACAGTAGTGATGATGAAAACGATAGTGACAATGATGACTACAGTAATGAGAAAGATTTGTAGGATGATGTATATAATTAGAGTATCCTTTACCAAGAGGAACAGTTGTTAAGAGAGGTTATGTCCCTGGAACCAAGGGAACAATAGACTCAGTGATACTAATATCTACTCTCTATGCCATCTCTTCAAGTCGTTCTCTATTACTGCTACCCCCCTTCTCTCTTTCCCTCTCACTCATGCTTTCACTTACCAGCTTTTTTAAAGCTACCAGTTACCAAAATGATCTGTATATTTAGCCTGGGATATAGGTGTGATTTTATTTTTCAATAATACATTAGAACAAGTAGCATTTTTAAATTTTTGCGTAATAGGTTACCTCACTGTTATAGGCATTTTTGCAAACTGTAGAAAGACTAAGAAAGGCCTTTAACTCAGTTACTTAAAAAGAAGATTTGCAACACATGTTTGGCCATGTTTGGCAGCCAATGTGACATCACCATGACATGCAGCCGTTGCACATTTGTGGTCACAGGTATGTCATTGACTTTGTAGAGGGACATTCAAAAAGGTTGTTGTTGTGTACTTAGGTGCAGGATTGACCAAAGCACAGCTTGCTTGCACGCAATAACAGTGAAAACTTTAGTAAAGTTATCTCTCCTCTTAAAAACACATGCAATCAATCAATAATATAATAAAAAGAACAATAGAGCCGGCCAGTGCAGGGCCCAATAATGATAATCATTGATCAATAATGAATTAGAGGGGTTAATGAATATATGTATGCATGAATACATAACATTCCTCCCCCTTTAGCTAACAGTTTACTTAAAGAAGATAATTATGTGAACACACAAGTATTAATAAGGAAATAACTAATATTTACATTCTATAATCATAATACCATACACCATTATTAATAATAGCATGAACATGATATACTGTTAATAATGAAGTGGAGTCCCATACCTTTTAGGCAGGTGTCTTGATCTATTGGAACGACGTACAGGATAATCCATAGTTGATTTGTTCTCTTGTTCAGACAATTCTACTGAGTGTTCGGAAGTAGAATGAGGAAGATTAGATGGGTGAGAGGGAGACAAGGGAGGTGAGGGAGATTGAGTGTCATCCTGATCAAAATCTTTAGTAATAGGAGGTTGAGTTGGAGGAGAGTGAGCATCATCATCAGGCACAGAGTTATCTTCAGGAATGACAGTATGATCTTCAATGAGATTGTCATCTGTTGATTCAGCTTCTTGATCATAGGCCTCTGTACAAATAATGATCTGATCTGCGTCTTTCTTAACTTTACGACCATTTTCAAGGAGAACTGTGAACAACACATTAATAT